ACTAAATGTCATAAATCTTGGACAACTAAAGGAATAAGAACATCATCTAAAAATATGAGGTCACTCATGTATATTAAAAAGTACACAGATAATCCCCTAATATTAAACTATATCAACAACTACAGAATATTGTATCGGAAAATCACCAAATCTGCTAAGAAAAACTATTACAAAAATCGCATCGCAAGAGCTAAAAACTCCTCCAAAGAAACCTGGTCTATAATAAATGACTTAAGGAATAAAACCCGTTCTTCAAACAGTGTAAATCCTAGCCCAGATGAACTAAACAATTATTTCGTAAATGTAAGCAAAAATATCAAATCTAACATAGCTCCGAGTCAGGATGCTCTCTCCTTCCTCCTACCTACTAAAAGGATCACTGAAAGTTTTTTCCTAAGACCAGTAGACAAGCATGAACTAGTGCAAACCATAAACAACATCCAAAATAAATTTTCCTGTGGAATTGATGGCCTGTCCACCAAAATATTTCTAAATATACCGGATGTAGTAATCAACATTTTAACTTCACTGATTAATGAATCCTTTGAAATTGGTCTCTTTCCTAACTGTCTAAAAACAGCTATAATAATCCCACTTCATAAAGGTGGCGACAAAACCAAAACCTGTAACTATAGACCTATCGCGTTATTGCCTACCTTATCGAAGATAGTAGAACGGCTAATGAAAAACCGTCTTTTGCCCTTTCTTTTCAAGCATAACATCCTCACAGCTCATCAGTATGGCTTTCTACCTAAAAAATGCACTAGCGACGCAATGTTTTCCGTTCTTAATGAAATATACACATCACTTAATGATAAACTTTTCACCGCTTCAGTATTTTGTGACTTCGCAAAGGCCTTCGATTGTGTAAATCTTGATATTTTAATTAATAAGTTACAAATTTATGGCATACGGGGTTCTCCTTTACAATGGTTTGAAACTTACCTAGAAAATAGAAATCAACAGGTGCGGGCGAATGGTGAGGATTCTACAAATCTAGCAATAAGCAGTGGAGTACCTCAAGGATCAGTATTAGGTCCAATTTTGTTTTTATTATTCATCAACGACATCACAGACTTAAGAATAAGTGGTAGAATTACTTTATTTGCTGATGACACCAGTGTAACCTGGAATAATTCTAACATGCAGACATTACAATCTATCATAAGTAAAGATCTAGTGACTATTAAGTCCTGGTCTGATTCGAATAGACTTTGTTTCAACACCAGTAAAACTGTAGCATTGTCTTACAGAGGTACTTTACAACCTATAACTTTAAACAATAATCTGATCCAAACGGTGACTTCAATCAAGTTTTTAGGTCTTTATATAGACGATTCTCTAAAATGGTCTGCAAAAAAATTATCCTCCGCATGTTTTGCCATTAAATCGGTTTCTAAAGAGCTGACTCCTTCTACTGCATTAATAACCTACTTTTCCTTATTCGAATCTCACCTTCGCTATGGTTTACCTTTCTGGAGTTCTTGTAGCTTATACCTTTTCGAATCTATTTTTAAACTGCAAAAAAGAGCAATCCGCTATGTATTTGGTTTAAGTAGTAGGACACATTGCGAAAATTACTTCAAACATTTCAAAATTCTAACCCTTCCTGCTCTATTTATTTTCGAATCCGTCTGCTTAGTTCGCAAGCACATTCAAAATTTATCCAAAAGACCGACTCGTAGATATCCTACAAGAAATTTAGAGACTGATGTTTATTTAACAATGCCCACTTCTGACCTATTAAAACATTCCATTACCTACAATGCCAAAAAATTGTATAATAACCTTCCGATGCAATTAAAATCTATAAATACATACGATAAATTCCGAAGACTGGCTAAAGCTTTTCTTCTAGAAAGACCATATTACACAGTAGCAGAATTTTATAACGTACCTTAGACATTTGAGTTCCACATACAATGGCATTAATTAAATAATTAAATATTAAAGTTTAAATTTAAATTTAAATTTAAATTTAAATTTAAAAATTAAATTAGAATAATTATAATGACGGATATTGCATATCCATTGCAATTGTTATTCCTATTTTGTCTGTTTGTTTCTGTTTGTTTTTTCTGCTGTTTAGTTATTTTTATAATATGTTTAGTATTTAAGTTACACGCTTTGTCTATAAAATTTTTGTAAATTTTTTTACGACAATAAAGCACATCTCTCTCTCTCTCTCTCTCTCTGTAACACAGTTTACAGCTAAAGAATCAGATCGCTCACTCTGCGTCGGCACTTTGGATCTCAATGTTTCAGTTTATACACTGTGCAACTCGGATAACACAATATATGACAACCGCCTATAATAAAACAGCAGTCTTCTGCGTATCCTGAATTTGTATCCCTGGAGTGGATGTTATTTTGAAACTTTCAACTGGTCCGAGTGAGCTAACTGATTCTTTAGCAATAAACTGTGACTTCAAAAATAATATTCCACATACTTTGATTACTATACGAGGCAAGAGAGAGGTCCGACACGCCCAACATAGGGCGCAGCCATTTTGAACCCTGTGACACAGTTTACAGCTAAAGAATCAGATCGCTCACTCTGCGTCGGCATTTTGGATCTCAATGTTTCAGTTTATACACTGTGCAACTCGGATAATACAATATATGACAACCGCCTATAATAAAACAGTAGTCTTCTGCGTATCCTGAATTTGTATGCCTGGAGTGGATGTTATTTTGGAACTTTCAACTGGTCCGAGTGAGCTAACTGATTCTTTAGCAATAAACTGTGACTTCAAAAATAATTATTCACTGATACTGACAGCAGCAAGCAAAATATCAGGTGCGTTTTAATCATCCGCTTCTGCTTCCGGAATTGTCGGTTTAGTCGTTTTAACCTGTCAGATTAAAACAAGAAAACCGACAATTCCGAAGCTGAAGCGGACGATTAAAACGCACCTATTAAAAATATTGCGCCAAGATGTAGGCAACACGCAATAAGGGTTCAAAATGGCGGAGTTGTCTATCTCCTTTTAAAAGGAACTCAGAAAGCTGCGCAGTACGACTATTCTCCGTATAGTAAAAGAAAATCAAAGTATGTGAGCACTCGTGAATCATGACAGGGTGGTCCTAGCCTAGCGATAAACGAAACATCCGAGTGGTTACAGTTTATATTGCAATGATTTGAATTCTCGATCTTAATCGAAAGAGGCGAGGATTTCTTGTTAATAGTTCCGCTTATGGTGTCACAGTGAGTGTGCAGGAGTGTGCGAACATTTTGAGTGACATTTGTATTTATTGGTTTTTCTATTTTTAATTTATCCGTTTATTGATTTTTGTGAGATGTTTTTTAACTTACTTTAATAAAAATACGATAGTAACCAAAAAATGTAAGGTGTACCATCAATGGAAGAGGCTTGCCTATGATGGCACACTTGCTATTTTTCTTTTTTCTATTTTTTTTTTTAATTATGAATTGTAAGTCAAATCTGTTGACCTACTGTCAATATTTACGTAAATTTTTATTAAGATTCTCCTCAATACTTCCTTAACCCCGAGAAAATAATATCTAAAAAGAGTTTAAAGTCAAGTATGCCATCATAGGCATGTTTCCCCTACTTAACCCATTACATCATATATGAAGAACATGCTATATAACCAAATTAAGTAATTTTTTACAGTAGTCATGTGAGTTATTATGTAACATGTAAGTCACTTTGTTATGTAACACGATATATTATATGTTTGTGTTTTCTGGGCACATATCGAATGCATAACTAACCGATGCCCATTTTGTTAAATTCGCACTTTATTTACAAAAAAAACTCAGCATACATAAAAAAAATATCCCTAACCAATTTTTTCACAAATCTTTTCATATACGTTTTAAATGAGTATTTTGTGACTTTATATGAGTATTAAAATTAGCAAATTGTATATAAAGGCACTTTACTTTTGAGTGCATTTTTGATTTCCCTCGTATAAAGGCATTAATTTTAAATTTTATTTATATCAAAATCATACTTGATTTAACTGATTATCTCCCTTTTGTGAAAAATATCAATTTTTGTATATTTTAACTTTATATATCTAAAGTACCTACAATTTTTTGTTTATGTGATGTTATACTTATTAAAGAATCCTTACGTTTTACAGATTCTGTAAAATAGCGACACTCTTTTACTTCTTAAAATATTTTTAAAAATTATAAGAATTTAAAAGTTCAACACCCTGTATCTCGAAAATTAGTCTTAACAGAACTTATAGGGCCCATGGATACTTTTAATTAGAATATTAAAAACTGCAACATATATAAAATTCAGTAGATTCAATTAAAAACAATTCGCTATATTATAAGGAAACTTGAGAGATCCTGTGTTGTCAATAAAGGAAAAAAAGAACTCATCTTTTAAATGGTAATGTAAACAAATATTAGTATGACCTAAAAAAAACTGGTATTACATTATATTTCGAAAAATAATAAGGTCATAAAAAATATAAGTATACCAAAATATGTGAATTTAAAAATAACTTTTTTACTTGGTAAAAAGAACATTTGAGTTATATACTGAGAATATAACAGACTCTTTTATATATTATCTTTGATTAATAATCAGTTTTACATTATAAATAGGAGTAGAATCTTATTATTGTTATTATTTGACTATAGTTATTTGTTATTTGAAGCCTTTATTTGAAGTAGCTTTACTTCAGATATCCATTTAAGTGTATTTTATACTTAATAACATTTTTAAAAATAAAAGTTCCATTTTGGTATTTATAACTTTCGTATTAATTTTTTCCAACGTTACGTGCTTACACTGTATGTAAATAAGAGTATAAACAAAGTTTACCCACTTTTTCTAATTCATAACAATTATTTGGCAAATATTTTAGTTAAAATGCCGAGATTTACAGTAAATGTATAATAAAAACTATATCTGTAATTCTTGTCACTATTTTTTTATGTTTTTTACTTGTATTAACAAATATTTTGCTTAAAACCAATAGGGTATGAGATATTAAATAATAATTCCACCTACCTGACACATAAGGGGAATTCATTTTGGAAGATTTAGTCCAGATTTCGTCCTTTTTACAATAATAATATTTATAACCTACACATTTCACTGTTCAAACTTAATTTAAAATCAAATAAATCGTGTTTGTTTGTCTAGTTTTTTCTAGTTTTTGCATTGAAAACAAAAATACTGACTCAAGTTCTGAAGGTAGGTTTACACTAAGCTGATTTAAAATTGATTTAGAGATCTTCGCTGGTACACTGAGAAAATAATTTGTTAGTATTAATGAAAATTTGTTGTCAGTTAATAAATAATTAGATTGAAAATATGGAATTTATGCTAAAAAACATTTATTGTATAGCTAGTTTCAATAATATATCATAATTAATAAATAATTAAATATTCTTTTTTATTTTAAAATGAATTCTAAACTATTATTATCCTTATAAATATTTTCTAACTAGTATTAAATAAAAAATTTAATAACATTAATATTTCTTAGTTATTATCCAATAAAAAAATACATTCTTAACTTTTAAATAACAATGTTTTAATATTTACGAAGATGAAAACAAAGACAGTAAGAAATTCAATGAATGTTGCATATGAGTCATTCCATACAAAATCATCTGAAAATAAAAAAAAATTGTTGCCGATCCATTTTAGATTTTGGTGTAACTTTGAGGAACTATTCCTTAGGGTCCCAAAGAAGAAAATTTACACGAGTTTGATTTTTATAAGCACTCCTTTTCACCTATTTAAATAAAGACTTTAAAAAATCGATATTTTTAAGCCTTAGCGACTTTTCCTCTGAAATTTTTCTTTTTGAAGAAAACTACATTATTTAAGCGGAATTCTAGGGGGAAAGATAGTAGTTTAAGTGTAGGCATCGATAATTTGCTCAGTCAATACCTCTGATTAACGGCAGCGTGCTGAAAATGAGTGTTTTTTGATCATTTTTTGTGAATTTCAATCGACTCTAGCGTCTTAACTGCTTAGACTTAGCAGCTTATGTTATGATTTTTAAAGTGTATACATCATAGATAAAATACAGCCACAAGTCAACCTAAGCAGCCCACTCTTTGCAGAAAAAACTTTGCTTGAAGTTTTAAAATTTTCAAAAATTGCATTATTCAGGTTATATAATGAACGTGTTGACTGCCAGATAAAAATCTGAAACTCTCAGAATCTACTGATCTTACCTTTAACTTTAAATGACCGTACCACTTGTTTTGTTATTTTTATGTTTAGTGCATATACGAGTCGGTTTTTTTTACAGCAAAAATCAACTCAATTTTTTATTTCTTTCCAAATAACTAGATGCTTCTATTTTGAAAAAAATTTCGACCTATGTATAGGATTCTTATATATCTTTATGAAAAAACTGAATTTATAAGATTATAAAATAAAAAAAAAACGAAGGGGAGTTGCCACTTTTTAATGCTCATAATTATAAAGAGATAGGAATAATAATAACTTGATAACTAAAAAATAACTAAATTAATAATAAAAAATTGAAATTGGTAAAAAATTATAGTTAGCAGAAATAGTGATGCGTGAATTATATATATGTTTTTCTTGTATCAATCAAAAATTTGTTTAAGCATGTGCCTATTATTTAATATTAAATATGTTTTAAGCAAGGATTTAATCATTGCATGAGAATTGATGGTATTTATGTATATTTTATATATATCAGGAAGTGTATTATAAATTTTTAATTGTAGATATTGGCAGTTTCGTTGTCCTACGGTTTTTTTTGCAATGTTTGTCGTAATAAATAGTTGTGTTCTATTTCTTGTTTGGTATGCATGTTGAATGGGTATTAGTAACTGCTTATTTTTATGTAAATTTACCATCATAGCAAGTGTAAATAGTTGTCTTATATCTAAGACTGCAGATTCTGTAAATAATTCGTCTGATGGGAGTGATACTTTTTTGTTATGTATTATTTTTAATATTTTTTTTTTTTTTTTTGATAATGTTTAATGGTTGTAAGTAGCCCAGGCAGCAAACGTACGTCATAATGACGTACCTTATAGGTCATATCAGACGTCATATTAACCCCGTAGTTGCCGTCATTCGGACGTCTAAATGACGGTCAAATGTCAGCGTCATTATGACGTCAGTATATGACGTCATTATGACGTTAGATATAGCTTGTATATGACCTTCTAGGTCACATACCAGACGTACATATGACGTCACTTAAACGTTATAAATATCGTCATTAAGACGTACTTTTTCGGTTAATTTTGGGATTTGCAGTAAAAAATGCAACACTGATTTTAATTTAAAAGCAAAATACCACAACAGTTGCAGCCAATGCCGCGATATTCGTTTTTTCTTATGGAAATAGAATCACAATCACTATAAAAATAGGAAAATTTTAAGGCAGTGTACTGGATGACCATCTACTAAAATTAACTAGATTAGAAAAACTTAATGTGGTTGTATTTTTTAATGCAAGGGATATTAATAAAAAAACTCGTAATCATGGAAAGAATTTCTATTTATTACAATGCAAAACAACTTAGTTATTAAGAATAAAAATCGGTTTTTCAGTGCCGAAAACTAATTGGTTAACCATCCGGAAAACCTTAAATATATTTTAAAAGTACACTTTAGTTACAATATAAAAAAAAACTATTTAAAAACTTAGTTGTGCAGATCATTCTGAAAAAATGTAAGTCAGAAAAGTTGCTTAAAGTTTTTCTTTTACTAAAAATAGCAGTAAATATTTTATATGGGAATACTGTTGCAATTACAGCATTTAAAAAAATTCAATTAACATGTATAAGTACTTACTAAATTATGGAACCACTACATGGGAAGTATCATTATGACTATAGTTCGTTATTTAAAAAAGCTCTTTCGAATTTTTGTTATAATTATTTATTGATTGTTGTTTTTTTAATGTGTGGTTTATTTGGTATTTATTCATTAATGTGATAGTTATTGTATTTTTGCATATATTTTCTTATATTAACTTAGGCTGTATAGATATTATGCAACAATGGAAACGATGCTAAGGTGTTATCTTTAAGGGGAAAAACGATACACTTTGTTAGAATGTCGGTTATGTTTATTTCTATCAGAACAGATAAATTGTCAACAACAAAAATTTGCAAATTACTTGAATCAAAAGGATAAGTAAATAAGGATTTGTAAGATAGAAACTGTTTACAAATAAATATGATATTAGTTTCAGAGTATACCAAAATATTATGTATTTGCAAGACTTTTTTTTCTTCTGAAAGACAATAAGAATTGTTTCGTGAATAGTAATAAGTACAAAACTTCACATTTTGAAAGAAAATTTTGTTGTACTGTTTAGAGCCTGTACGCGAGAGCAATGGGCCTCGACTGTGCCTCCAATTTGAATTCAATTGAACATCCTTTGGTTCTGCGTTTTTATTAATTTGATTTAATTCAATTAACCGACGATAAAGTTGCTTTAATGGTTTATTAGCAGATCGTATTAATCTTTTTAATGCCCCCAAATGATTTTCAAAAGGGAAGGCTGAAATATTATCTAAAACCCCATAGAGTCGTACATCATCAACTATATGAATCAACGAATGTACATTATGAACAAGGAAATCTAAACCATAGAGATGCTTAGAATGTTTAACAAAAATACATAAAAATTTATCTGCTAAATCACAACCTAGCATATTTAAATGTCTCTTAGACAATAAAATAGACATTGCAGATTGTAATAATAGAAAATGTTCATACACAGCTATATCCATAAATTCTTTTAATACAATGGGACCTAGGTAAAGCAAAAACGTTCTAAACTGAGTTGCTTTCCAATACGATATTTCTGTTATTTTAGAAGGCTTCCTGTTAAACTCATCGGGAAGAGCAGTACATAAATTAGTTAAATAATCAGAAAGAAGAGTAATATCCCTTGCTTTTAAACGGACATTATAAAATTTACCTTGTATCCAAGAATTAATCATTTTTTTTACCACACCTAAACAAACGCAATGCATGTAATCAATTACAAATATGTTAATAAAATCAATTGGTAAAGAGACTAATGGTGAAACAGAATTATGATGGTCACCATCTCTTTGTTGCAAAAATGATTCACTTGTACGTTTTTGGGAAGTCATACTATCAAAAATCATATGCCTGTTAACATACTGCCCAACAACTGTACACCTATCACAGGAAGAATAACCATTGTGTCCTTTAATACACTTAAGATACGCCTTTGCTGGAACGTCACAAATGAAACTATGAATTTTTACAGAATACATTTTGCCATTACAATGTAAACCATTGTTTACAAGAAATGAAACCTCTTGAACAAAATCGTTTAAAAAAATATTTATCGGTTTTGGCTTGTCTTTACCACAAAAAACACCTATGACAAAACATTTTTGTTTAATACCTACATTTTTAATAAGTCCTAGTATTGGCCAAAAAGTAATTGGTGAATTGTTGTTGGAAAACACAGGTATTCCATCTATATTGAATGAAATACTAATAATGGGAGCTGAATTTCCAAAAGGTATTTTTACTATAATTCGTTTTAATATTTTAATTAACCCAAAATGAATATATTCGCCATTATCTAACTGTTTATGATCAACTGTTGAAACGGGAGTATGTAATAGAGTACGGGCATCTAAAGGCAGTGTTGAATCAAGTGGAGATAAAATATGTAATAATTCTGAAATACCTGATAGTGTTATGTTGTTCCGAAGGGCCCATTCTCTTAAAGAAGATTGCAAATTATTAGTTTCACTACTACTTCTACTACTACTAGAAGCAGTAGTCTCACTACTACTACTTCTACTACTACTAGAAGCATCCATTCCAGGTGAATAAGTTACACAATTAGAATTCATTTCAATTTCAGTATTATTTTTTGTTCTAAAGACATTAGAATTTGAAAATAAAGATTGATTTGAACTATGACTACTATCATTTAATAAACTAGTATATGTTTCATTATCTTCAAATTGAGTTACAGATACATCTGAATTATTTTCAGATATGCTTTTTAACATTTCCACTGTACTTTTAACTTCATTAGCAACCCTTCTGTACATTTGACGATCTCCTACAACTTCTTTATAATATACTTTTCGACTAGTCGACATTTTATAAAATAAAAATATGTAACTTAATTAGGTATTATAAAAAAAATAACCTTGATTAATTATTACGATTTCGTACTTC